GGAAAATAAGGAAAAAATCAGTTGATATGAACTGCCGTAAGAGAAAGGAGAATTCTGTTGATTGAGGATTATGATACCGACCGTGTTCGGACGACAACGACAGGCAAAATCAGTACATAATACTGTGGTAAGAGAAAGGAGAATTTTAACTGAGGGTTACGATGCTTAGCGTGTTCGCGGGCCCGAGGCATTTTGTCAGCGACATAAACGATTGTTCCGCTATTTGAAGAGGCTTCCCCGAGGTGGAGAAAGAGAAGAAGGTAGTTCGATTCTTTTGTATTCGCTCTTTTCTAGTTGGAATGGTGGTAGGTGACACGCCACGCATATTTTTGTACCAGCCTTAAAATTATCGACAATATTCGGAACATGTCTCTTAAAAACTATTTGTAAAGTCTTAGGAGTGGTAAAGTGATATATTTAGTTAAATAAACTCTCCCAACATCGCCTTCAAATTTCTTTAAAAAATTTCTGGTCTTTTTTTTTAGAAAAGGCAAAAGGTTCAGTATAACGAGGTCAACCCATTATTTATTTTAATTTAATTGAGAACATTTTTACTCGACTTTCAATTTATATAATTAAATATTTACATTTGTTTTCAGCGCTGCCATGGAGTTCCGTAAAGCTAATTTGGACGCTTTCCAAAAGAAGTATGGAATTAAAATTGGATTTATGTCTATATTCTCCAAGGCTTCTGCTTACGCACTACAAGATCAGCCCGTTGTCAATGCTGTTATTGACGGACAGGTGACTATGTGTTAAAATTTATTTATTATATTACGGATCTGATAGTCATTGGTCCCAAGTAAATTCTTGAATTCTATCATTACAAATTTGTTTGCGTACGTAACGAGTATTATGCAAGTATCTACTTGACAACAGTTGATTTAATTCAGCATTTATTTATACATATCATCCGTTTGTTGACATATCCAAAAAAAAAAATATATAAATAGGTGTATACATAGAACTGACAGTCCCAGTTGTCTTAAAAATTAATACCGATGCCTTTCGATGTTGTGTCATGAAAGGAAATTTGTGTTTTTTTCAACATGTTTGTATTAGTTTTTACCACTTTGCTAGCTAAAACTAGAAAGCAATTAATCTTTGTGGAAGAAGACCAATGTTTGTTGGTCAAACAAATTTGGCGGCAAAATGTTCACAGCGCGAGTTCTCTAGAACAAATTTAGATCCTGTCTTCTAAATGTCTTTAGGTGAATTAGAATTTAGAGTATTAAATTAGGGTATTTCCCTGACGCACAGTAAGTTCCATATAAAATGTGGGCAAAAACAGAATTATGGACGGATATAATTGAAAATTCGCTTCTTAGTAAAATTGACGACGCTAAATTCAAAAATGCAATTTGTTTTTGGATAACTTTCTTACTCCCACTGTAAATGCTGTGAAGTTGAAAATTTGGCATTTACATAGGTATGTACATATGTATAGTTCGTTCTAACGGGTGATTTTTTTGAGGTTAGGATTTTCATGCATTAGTATTTGACAGATCACGTGNCATAAGTCAAATGAATTAGATATTACAATATAGGTAACAATCGAAATGGTATTGAAAATGCTTTACTTTTAAATGACACGTAGAAGGGTTGCCACAGAATCAAATTAAATTTTATTAAGGGAATAAGGTAACTGAAATATGAATATCAATATGGGTATCAGACAAAAGAAGAAATTTGACATATTTAGCAAGAAATAAGTGAAGAGTAAAGACATTCCTGAGTTAATTTAAGAGTCCAGTAATTTAAAAGGAATGTAANATCAGACAAAAGAAGAAATTTGACATATTTAGCAAGAAATAAGTGAAGAGTAAGACATTCCTGAGTTAATTTAAGAGTCCAGTAATTTAAAAGGAATGTAATCAGAACAAATCACTGATAGACTTTGTATGTATTTGTATTTAAATAACAAATACGATATTGTTGTTGTTGTTATAACAGCATACAGATTCCCCAAAGAGTTTTTGGGGAGTGTTGCTGGAGTGACAGTCCTAGTCCAGATATATGTAATTCTGGGTCGTTCCGGTTACGTAGACCCGACTGTCGATGGAACGAACAAATACGATGTAAACCTTTGGTTTGGCACAATTATTATTTTAATTTAACTAAATTTTACTTCACAAACAGGTAGCAACCCTCTTCGTAATTGCAAGCTAAAACCTTCTTTAACCTCTTTCGTCTGTCTCCCATATGGTGACACCGATCTATTTCAATACCTAATTCCTTTAATTCAAATGGCATCTGATTTTTTAAACAGGTGGCAACCCTCTACACAAGTTAAGAAATAAACCCTTTTCATACACATTTCGATTGATACACACCTCTTAATAATTCATTTAACTTATTAAACAACAGGTGGCAACTCTTTGAAAAAAAATAAACCTCTATCGTCTACAGGTCAAGCTTTTTAATCTGACACTTCATTTTTGAAAGTAAAACGAATCGTGCAGATCTGATGGCACTGGTAAAAAATGCAAAAATGATTTTATGTATTAGCAAAAATCGCATTACTTCAAAAAGTGCAAAAAATTAGCAGGTTTTTATTTCCCTTTTCGAAAGTTAAAAAACCCTACCATCTAATAAAATAACATATTTTTCATATATTTTTAATTCATTCCATTAAAATTTACCATTTTTGAATGTATTTTTGTATGCTCTTATAAAAATTCTTAGTATAAAATTGGTTGACTTCAGTGGCTTCCTGGTGTGGCGGAATATACACTTGTGATCAGCTAATTAAGCCAGAAACATTTTGATGAATTTTGGCTATTTTTCTTTTGTTTATTTAATGTTTATTATTTTTCCATAAAAGTCTAGCTCATTATATAACAAACACCACATAAATCCAGATTTCAAACTTTGCGCAAAAATTAATTATTATTTAGAATTTTTTTGAGTATGCAGTTAAATAGCCCATTAATTTCTAGGGTAATAATGTGCAAGTCTTAAGTTGCTAAAAAATCGCGTTGATTTTTAATAATTTTTTTCTGAATTCAAGACGCTTTTTTTCAAAAAAAAAAAAAAAATTTCGAATTTATTTTGTATGGAAAAAAATTTGTAATGCAGGTTATTAAACTGCATACTCAAAAAAATTCTAAAAAATCTGAATAAAAAGTTGAAAATTTAGCTGAAACTTTGCAGATTTTTCATAATTTTTGCACAAACTTTGAAATCTGAATTTATATGGTATGGTTATTATATAATGAGCTAGACTTTTATGGAAAACTAATAAACATTAAATAAACGAAAGCAAAATAGCCAAAGTTTATCAAAATGTTGCTGGCTTAATTAGCTGATCACAAGTGTAAGTTATTTTATAGGTGAAATTTCTGTTTAATTCTGTTTAGTGGATAAATTACCTTTACAAAAGTACCAAACACGCTCACATTGCAGACAACGACTATTCAAACAACTCATACAATACCTTAGAGGGAGTGGTTTTGTATGATTTCAAAGATTTTTAAACCCGTGCTTAAGGAGGCTGAGCGCAATTTGTATAACGAATTTGGTGCAGATCTTTGAAGTAGTAGTTTTTGAGATACACATACCTCAGTGAAATAATTATATGCGCATATTAATTGTTACCTTCATCTATCTTATTTGCATCGGTACTTTCTTTTTTAAGTATATTACACAAGGCGTTGTTTGTTTAGTATATTTTTTTTTTAATATTTCATAAACCTCTGTTCTTAGCCCTGTTACATAAACACTTTTTGTGTCTAATACCTTTCTTAGGAAAAAGTTATATGTGCCAAACATAGTTCTCATTGTTTAAAATGTCACCACGTGAAGTGAAACAATTACTTTGATAAAAAATTACAGGCGTAGTAAAAATTAATATTTTTTGCAATCAAATCTCGCGGAAAATTTGAACTTTTTATAAAAGTGCCTCGTGGTAACATTTATTTAGAAATATTCAACATCATTTTTTAGAGATTTATATAGAAACTCTTCATTGCACATATAATTATTTCACTGAGGTACAAATGGGCATATCTCTCGAACTTTTGATTTTCGACATTTGAAAAAAAAAGTTTTGACATACTTACGGTGACCAGATTTCTGTGGACAAAAATCGGGACATTTCTAAAGCATCGAATCCGAACATACAATTTTGCTGTTGAAATAAAAAAAACATAACATTTTTAAATACAGTTTTATTTAAGACAAAACAAAGAGAAAAATGATCGCACCCACCAGGATTATGGGCAGCTGCTGCAGTTCGCCAGACATAACAATAGTCAGCGCTGGTCTGATAAACAGCGTATCATGGCGACCTATGCTGACCTTAGCATCAGACCATCTGCCCATAGTCATCTCGATCGATAAACCAGCCGACTTTGCTTCCGCGGAGCACCGGACCTATATCAACTTTACTAAAGGTGATTGGAAAGGCTTCGCGGAATTTACTGAAAGCACCTTCGCTGCGCTTCCCGCACCAACCGACATCACCTAGGTGAACGTAAGTTTCGCAGGGTTGTCACCGCTGCTGCAGCTCGCTTCGTACCAGCAGTTCTAGCTGATGAGCGTGACAGCCCCCGTCAGGCCGATCGCCGAATCCCCGGATCAAGGATCTCAACGCGGAGATTCGGCAGCTTGTGAACGTACATAAGCGGAAAAAGTGGGAAGAGCATCTGAAGACCTGTAACTTCGCCTCTGGTGTGAGTAAGCTTTGGTCAACCGTGAGGTCACTGTCCAATGCGACGAAACACAACGACAGGATCGAAACATCTTTCGGCGACCATGCTTCGTCGGACCCAGTGCGATTCGCGAGCTATTTTAGCCGGCAATTTATACTGCATCCTCCGGCGGAGAAAGACAAGCGTCGAGTGACTAGAAGGCTGCACAAACCGCCAATAACCAGTGCGCCTCTTGTTTTCACTTGCGGTGAAGTTCAGGTAGCCATAGGGAAGGCGAAAGCCTCCAAAGCCATGTGGCCCGACGGAATATGCATGTTGATGCTGAAAAATTTGGGTCCTGCGGGAGTAGACTATTTAGCCAAGGTTCTCAACCTGTCAATGGCCACTCTGGTCATTCCAGACATCTGGAAGATTAGGAGAGTGGTCCCTCTGCTCAAACCGTGGCCAACAAATGAGAGTCTTATCGTCCGTTAACCCTACTTTCCCCGGTAGCGAAGACACCAGAGGCCATATTTTACGAACCACCTGACCCCAGCGAAGCATCAGCATGGTTTCCGTAAAGTGCACAGCACAATAACAGCACTTAACGCCATAAACACTCCGATAACACGTGACCTTAACCGAAACCGTTCCTGGTAGCGTTGGAGCTGTTAAAGGCGTTTGATACCGTCAGCCACTCTAAGCTGCTAGAAGACATGGTTGGTTGGTTGGTTTAAGTGGATAGTCACTCAGGTGACAAGCAATTAGCAAGTTTGCCATTTTGATTCCACAACTCGTGCAACCTACAGCCATTTGGCGGCTTTAATAAATTTCAGTACGTCATACAGAGAGAGGCAGCTGCACTCTGAAATATTCTGCAGGAATGGTTTGCCGAGTGTCTTTAGCCTCATCCTTGCGAGGGCTGGACACTCGCACAGCAAGTGTTCGACTGTCTCTTTTGAGCCCGGGTCATCGCAGCTGCGACAGAACCTATTGAAGGGCAGTCCTATCCTTTCGGCATGTACCCTAACGGGCCAGTGCCCTGTGCACAGCGCAATAAGTTTGTAGGCATTTGTTTTACTCATTCCTAAGAGAGCTCTGGTTTTGAGTGGGTCGTACGACACCCAGAACTGCCGGGCAATTCTATAGGATCCTATGCAGTTCCACCTCTGTCTGGCCTTCGAATGATAAAATTCGGTAATTTTTGTCTTAATCTCCCTGACGAGGCGCCCATGTCCACCGCGTGGGACATATCCAGTGCGGAGCCGCTCCTTGCTAGTTCGTCCGCCGCCTCGTTTCCGTAGATGCCCCTATATCCCGGGACCCATATTAGGGTAATTTCGTATTGATCAGAGATATAGGCCAGCTCTCTCCTACATTCATCAACTAGCTGAGATCTAACAGAGTTAGAGGAAAGTGCCTGAATAGCCGCTTGGCTATCCGAGAGGATGTTCACTTGCGTTCTCGCGGGTACATTGTCTTTGATGTACCTTACTGCTTCCTTAATAGCAAACATTTCGGCCTGGAAGACGCTTGCATAGTCTGGTAGGCGGAAGGATAATTTTAGGTTATATTGCTCAATGAAGACCCCAGCACCAACCCCGCATTCCATCTTTGACCCATCCGTAAAGACAGTTAAGCCCTGCAAGTACCCGAAAT